GCCCAAAGTCAACCACGCTCTCCAGAGCTCTGAACGTCCGCGGTAGGAATGGAAAGAGAGGAGCAGACAGTGGACTGCAAGCCGCGGGCTGGCTGAGACGGCAGGGAGGAAGCACAGCTTCACCAGGACAACAACGGACTCAGCTTGGGCACTTCACCACCACCGTTCTGCCCCAGCCTCTCCCCTCCTGGAAGCCTCAACAGAACAACACCGGGGTTTGCAAAGCGTCCATTCCTTTAAGTTGCAGAGGGAAGACAGCTACTTTTCCCCCATGCAAGCGTAAAAACCACAGAGGCCTTTGCACCTCCTGATCTCTGCAGAACATCAGTTACAAACACGTGCTTTGCCAGCTTCAGATAGTGTCGGTAGCAAGGTAAACTCCTTCAAGTCTATCTTGAACGACACCATGGAGAGGATGTGTCATTGTATTCTGCAAAGCCAGAAAAGAGAAGAAAAAGGTTTCTAAACTAAACAAAATAAGGACTAGGTCAGGCCAATGTTTTAGCAGGTGCTTCAGGTACCTGGAACTAAAAATGTATTAAAACAACAACAAAAGCACTCCAAAACCTCCACCTTCTGTTATCAAAATAAAATCACCTACAATAGATGAATAATGTAACTGTAAAGTTTTTTAATGGGCCTTTTGTTTGTAATGTCCAAAGATGGGGTCCTATGTTCAGATACTAGTTCCCAAGAAATATGTTTTTTAAAACACCAACCTGAATTAGAAGTTCTATCAACCTCAAACCCTGATGAGGAGTAAGATCAGACGGAAGTGCTTCAGATTTCCTGATTATGAAGGTTCAGTACATCTGTCATCACCACAGCAGTTGGTAATACCACAATAAATATCGAAAAATCTGCTTATTGAATTTGCATACTGAATGTTTCCATCTCGCATCACATAATGCCTTGGAAGTGTCGTCTTCAGAACAAACTGTGGAAATTTAGGACTTCTTACAGGTAAATCCTTTAAATGACTGGAACAGGAACTATGACATAGAGATGCAGTGCGAGAATGAAATTTGGAAATTCTCATTCGAGTCTCTGCTGTAAGAAAGACTCTTCACACAACCTTGTGCTACTCCTGCGATTCTCTCCACCTTGCTACTCTGCACCACTTTCTTCTCGTCAAAAACTTGAGACAAATTTTCAAGCTTGCCCCTTGGCACTCTGATACTGAGCCATGTCAGAATTCCAACTAGTAGAAACAAACTTCTGAGTGATAAGAAGCTTTAAAAACAAGCATGGAACCCCTAAGAACAAACAAGGACTGCAGAAACTAGCAACATTTAATTAAAAAAAACCTAACAGTAGATAACAGCAAAACTTGTTTCACACAAAAGGTATCTGTTGAGTTAAAAAATACTGTCACTTGATTGGAGATTATAAAAAAATAATATTTCACAGATTTTCTCCCAGCCCACTTCAAAAATGACAATATAATCACAACCCAAACTTCCAGTAAACTTTTAAAAAAATTAATCAAGAATTCTAGATAAAGCAAATTATCACCTTCTGAGAAGTTGTGCATACAGAAATCCTTTCCATGGTACTAAAAAAATGCCACTGAATTGCATCCTGCAAACTGAACCTTCTCGCGGCTCAAACTGAAAGCGAGGCAGACAACCCTGATAAAAAAAAAATAATTATAGTCTTGAGATGGAACTTCAAAATTAGTTCATTCCATCATACCAAAACACAAAGTTTTTATGAAGATGTAATTTGATTTCTGTATTCTCCTCGGTGTGGCATTCATCTGTGCAATGCTCTTGACACCAATTTCTCAAGCATCAGGCACACGTGGATACAAATACGGCCAAGAAAGGATTAGTTTCGTATGTACAAGGATGAAAATGATCCAACTGGAAAGTTTGCTGCCTGACAATTCACAGCCCAGCTTGTGATGAAAGGCACTACTGTGCCTCATGGTAACTACACGATAAAGCATGTTCAGGGGACTGCTGAGCAAACAAGGTAACACATTTCTAAATCATTTCTTCCGCAGTTGGTACAGTGAACAAGATTCACCCTCATGCAATTTCACTGAAGACAACAGACGCAAATGTTATGAATGTTTAAAACATCTAATCACATATAAACCTAGATCTACATTAAATTAACTTAAAAGAAAAAAGTAGTTTAAATTTTTTTAAAAAATCAATAAATTAACACAGACAAAAATAGAAATATTTGACATTAAAACTAAGCTACTGAGGCAACATTTTAAAGTGTCTCTAAAAACACCGGATGAAAGTTGAATGCATCGACTGGCTGCAACTCCTCTCTGTCCTCATCTCCTGGGAGACCTCCAGATTCTGATTTTCACCTCTCACGGAACTCATCCGAGTTGATGAGGACTTTGAAACAAGCAAGGCAACTGAACAAAGCCCGGCTGTCAGGAATGTTATAACTGAACTTTAGCTGCAAAGCAACAACAGCTGCAAGCACGCATCTGCATCTCCAACAGCCACTATACTTCGAGTACAATTCCAGGCTTATAGCTGGAGTAGCAACTGCTTCATCTCGAGTTAAATCTCTCTGCCACCATTTAGATCCTTACCACTTTTTAAAATTTTCCATATTCTAAAAAGCTAGCATATAATGCTCCTATTTAAACCCTCTATTCATGCCATGAAAAAAAGCCACTATCTTTGCTCTCCAGCTTCTACTTAAAACTGAAACTGCCATTTTTAGGGGTTTAGGCCCTAGCAGATTCTTTACTTCTACTAAATTTAATCAAATGCTATTTTAATGACAGATTGCAACACTTCACCTTCTCTAACATTTCCAGGTCTTTGAAGAGTCAGAGAAAAGCTACTGGGAGTTTACCTGAGAGGCTGTTCCAAAAATACCACACGCACACGCTTTGATATTAGTGACTAAAGCCCTTAAATTGTTCCCCAAAGCCCACCTTTGCCATAATACCTCCAAAACACTGGAGAACAATTAGCCAGCTGATGTGCTGTGAGCTTATTCTGCCATTTACAAATGACTCACTACAGCCTTTCGCTCCGCTCCCCCCACGGCTGGCTGTGCGTCTGACCGAAATCCAGACTGCCAGAGCTCCGCAGAACACATCACCTCTCTCGTGGCACGGCGTAAGCGCTGCCTCTAGACACTGTCTTCTTACACGAGATACCAATACACGCTGTCATGAAGGCATCCAGGTTTAGACAACCTTTGTTTTTGAAATTTCAGATGAACGAAGGAGGAAGTTTATCTTGAGAGGTCTGGACTATGGATGAAATACGCTGCAAGCAGACCAAGCTCTGACTTCAACGTGCTTTGGAACTAGGCAGCACTAGCAGGGGGCTCTGCCCCATCCTCCCCAGGAACAGGTACGCGCACGTATCTGTAAGGGGAACTCGTGTCTAGCAGCAACGAGTGCTGGCAAGCACAAGCCACGCTAAGAGTGCTTCATCCTGCTGCTCTCTCTTTCTCTTCCCCGTTTCCTCGCTGGCAGCCTCACAAGACTGTACTGCAGTGGGTGTGTTTGGGCAGCACGCAGGAGGGTCTGTAGCAACCATCGCTGGTGCAGACACGGGGCAGAGACACAAACTGCTGTCCCCCAGGGCAAAGCACGGGCGCCAGGAGGCCGGGGCTCCCAGCAGACCAGAGCAGGGTGTGCGCATGTTTGCGGGAGGGACAGGGTACAGTACTAGAAAGAAGATGATCTTGACCTACAACAACAGTAGACCTGAAACCGTTTAACAAAAATACTCATCCCTTTGGCCAAGAGAATTACCCCAATTCTACAACAACAGAAAAAAAAAAAAGAAGACTTTTCCTTCATATTTTTTCATTCCCACTATGACTAACAGTACACACCACCTGTAGCACACCAGCCCACAGAATTCCCTGGGCTCACAGCAGTCCAACGCTCCGACTGGAAGCCCAAGGAATGAAGCAAACCGCAGATGGCCCCGGCGTACAACCTGCCCTCAGACCAGAGCTGTGGCGGGGGACATCCCTGTGCCAGGGACGGGGGGAGAAAAGACGATGCAGACTGTAATCCATTATTACAGGAATACTTGGTTCGCTTTCATTTTCCAGCATGGCATCAGTAAAAAGACAAGGATACTCTTTAGGAAAACTCATCAGTTTGAGGCTCATAGTGCCTTCTTAACAGCATTACAGCGCTCAAAAATATTTCATCTAAGCCAGCTTGAAAAAAGCTGTGGTCAATGAGATTTTGTTTCTCAGATTCTGACTTTGTTTGACCAGTTAGATATGCCTTTACCAACAGGATTTAGCTCCTGCTATATTCGAACCATCTTTAATCCCATGAAGGCTAAAGAAAAATGTCTCTGATTTAGCTCTGTGCACTTATGAATAACTCAGATTCTACAGTTAAATTTACAACATAGTTCCCTTAGCTGTTTAGAAGACAATTGTTTTCCTTCCTTTCCCCCTAAGTTCTAGTATGTAAAATATCAGAAGAATTTAGATTAAAAAAAAAAAAGAGGGGACATGTTATTTTTAAAGTTGTTCTTGAGAAAATTTCCACATGAAAAACTGTGGCATTTCTCCACTGGTTTGAGAATAGTTTTCACATGTTGGCATCATCCTCGAGTGGCTGCCACAACTCTGGTATCATAAAGCGACACGTATTTTCTCCTAGCTTACCAAAACACATTTTATTTAACTGCTAAATATGGACTGATGCAAGTTTTTCTTCTTACTTCACAACAAACAGGAAAACGCAGATGCCGCACTCTGATCGCATACACGCGCCCTGCCAGAGAAACGGGGCACGGACGCCAGCTCAGCCCTCCTAAGCGTACGACTGTTCAGATCACATCGCTGCACTCCTGGCTCAGTTAGGCTTTAAATTCACACTAAAATGGTTCACATTGTTCACTACTGTCCTAGAAGTCCTGCCTAGGTAGCACTGAAAAACAAACCGTTTGGCCCCTTCTGTTATGATGCTGGAACACTGTGTTAATATACTTTGGCATATATTAAAAAATCCCTGTAACATACCATGTACTGTGACATTTCCACTTCAGATCTATCATTTACATGTGAAGCACGAATCTCGAAAGAACCTAGTAAAGCTGTAAGAAAGACTACATTTTGCCGAAGCTCTCAGACACCCACTCCATTCAGTCACACCAGCTGGAGAGGTAAGTGTCAAGATACAGCTTTATTCTTAAAAATGAATATGGAGGTGAAACTCCACAGCCTCCTCCACAGCAACAATTTTTTAAAGTGAAATCACAATGATATGTGCTCCTGATTCTTCTACGTCAGCAGCATTTCGCAGAAACCTTTTTGCAAATCTGGACATCTTAAAATCATATTTAACTTATTTTGCAATTTACGCAATTGTCCCTGCACTTCCCAGTCCAGCTGATAGGCGTCTTAGACATGACATCCATTGGAAGATCTTTTGCTCCTAGAGGTAGAGGAGTCCTTAGCTACCCTCTGTCTAGCGCAAGAGGCACAGATGGCCCCCGAGAGACGCTTAAGCCCCTTCTGAAAGACACTGTTGGAGAGACTGTAAATGACACAGTTGCAGAAACTGTTGCTAATGGCAAGCCAAGTGGTCAAGAAGGACGCAAGGCGGTTACTATAGACATTGGAGCTCTCCAGCAGAAAATAGATTATGTAGGGCAACCAGAGGATGTAGAAGACACTGGTGATGCGGAAAAGAACCATGGCATAGCGCTTGTCCGGGCAGGGCTGCGCCTCCCCAGCCTCCCCATCCTGAGAGCTGAAGCGCACTCGCCTCTCGTTGATCTCCTTGGTGTGCTGCTGGCAGATGCGGAAGATGTTGAAGTAAGTGAAGCAGACGATGAAAGCAGCCGGTGCGTAGAGCATCACCACGATGAAGAGGGTAAAATAGGGATCGGTGTTCCAGGAATTGGCACACCACTGAAACACATCCCCGTGATATCCAGGCTTTCCCCAGTGGAAGGAGGGCAAGAAGACCAGGCAGGAGTACAGCCAAATGATCAGTATGCAGATTCGAAGTCTCCACGGGGTAACCAGCGTGTTGTAGGTCAGCGGCTTCGTGATGGCAATGTATCTGTCAATACTAATGCACGCCAAAGAGGCCATGGAGACGCTCTT